TCTGAACCATATAAGCACTTCAGAATAGCCAAAGCTTTTATGGTTTGGTAGATAGCAGTATGGCGAAAGCGTCGTTTTTGGGTGTGGTCAGTTTCGGACGTTTCATCCCGGATTGGGGTTCGGGCAGCGTTACCATGTTGACCGTCATGGTCAACTTGCCCTAAAACAGTTGAGATTATCTGTCCTAAATGAAATGCATACAAACTCATATACAGGTCCTAGACTATAACATCATTTGGCCCGCCAGCGACACAATAACGACCTCCTCTTTTCCTTGCTTCATTACCTTCCGCCATATTTACATAAAACTAGAAATACATGCATGCAGCAACCCCTCGCCTATATTTTCCAAACATTGAATTAGCATGAAGTATTCAGGAATGGCCAACACTGAACGCAGACTCGCGTTCAAATGTTGCCATGACAACACGATATTTTTAAATTTTAAATTTTTTAATATTTGTTTTGTACAAAACGGCAAAATAGTTAAAAGAAATATTATAAGAATTTCCGAAATATATGCTGAAGGTATATGTTATTTTGCATTTTGTGAGCTTTGATTTAATGTGAAATTCAACTTAAAACGCTTCGTAAAATGTTTTGAAATGTTCAATCAACTAAACTACATTTACCGATAAACTGTTATTTTTACTTAATGAAACATTGAGTTCAAATTGCTAGGTTTGCTCTCCTTTACATTTTAAGTTTGTTTTTTTCTTATATTTAAACAGTGTAATTAAAAACTCACAGCTTTGTTGGAAAGGAAAACAGTACATGTTTTAGGCAAAAAGTAAAGCCGTAAAGCAACAAAATTCATAAACATTAAACATTCAAAGCAACCTTGCCCCATATTTCAGGATTTCCCATAGTAAATATATTTTTCTCATTTCTTCAAACAAAATTTGCTTCGGAGCTCTTGTACATAAAACGATTTTCCAAATATTTGTCTTTGAAAATTGAAATCTTGTTTATCCCACTTCTGGCAATCCGCCATATTTTTGAGACCAGTGAGGAGGTCCACCCTTGGATCATAGCCATGCGCCCACGATATTTGATGAACTTTAGATATTTGATGAACTTTTCCCCGGGTGTAAATAGCCGGACGGAATTAGTACCCTCGCCCCGGGCTTACGCCGCGCAATTTGAAGGACACATTTAGGTTCGAAATGCGGAATATGTTTGCCTAATAAAACCGCTTCTTTTTATAGTTGGCGTTTAAAATTTTGCAGACACACTTTTTAAAGGTCGTTTTATTGAAATGTGTAAAAAAACATTTCGTGTCATATGCACTTTAAAGATAGAGAGGTTTATTAAAATTACAGCGCAGCCATAACATACATTGCTGAATTACATAATTCACACATTCAATTATTCCATGTTCTATTCTTGCAAATATTTCATTTGCAGATGATAATACACAAGTATTTAATTAAAAATCTGTTTGTATAATTTATCAACTTTGCCATTATTAATAACGAAAATGAACATGCACTTATACTGTATATATTTACAATAAACAATTAATATATTACATAAACGATTATTTAAATAAATCACTTATTAACAAACTAACTATATATATATATATATATATATATATAT